GAGCTGGAGAGAGAGGGGACATTAATAATAATGTGGTTTTATGTGCTTTTGTCTCTCCAGGGGATCAGTCCATCTTGCTGTTGTATTTGATGTATGAGCCTAGAGAGTTCACAACTGCCCTGTTTGGGGTATTTAACTCTGTGAGGATGCTCTTGTTGGTAAGTGGTCTTGTTTAATGCAGTAATGCTTTCTCTGATGACTCATGCCTCTCAGCTAACTCAGAGCAGAGATCAGTGGATGTCCTTGAAATACCACTAAATCTTTCGATTTCAGGCTCGAACAGCAGTGGCCCTGCAGTACGGCCATTGATTGGACACAGCTGTGTGTCTTTGCCATCTCTTCATTTGAGTCTCTTCTCTAGCACACACAGCTGAGCACGATGCCCTTGATAACCAAACGTATATTATTTAATATTATTTATGGGTTTTTGCCTATAGTCAGAGAGGAAACGATAGGGTGAAGACAGGGGACTGACACAACTCTCAACAGACAGCCCACAAGAAGATACAGCATCAGTTAATTCAGCTTCATTCTGTCACACGGCCGGCTCTGCTCCATACGAGCTGCAGTAATATGGCACAAAGGGACATATACATCCATATGCTGTAAAACCAAAAATGTAGGTTATTGTGGACACTGTCAGCAATGTTCAGTCTTTATGACTCTAAATATAATATCTGCTAAAGGTCTCATATTAGCAAATGATTGTCACATGATGTCAGTGTAAAACATGATTATTTTATATATTTTATTCTATTATTATTATTATTATTATTATTATTATTATTATTTTGCTTACTACTCTAAACTTCTAACACCAACTTTAAAAAAAAGTTATTTTCTTTAAAACCTTTTCTTTAAAGGTCTTTAGTGATATTATTAGTTGGATACAGTAAACAATTTGCTTTCTATATACACTTGTGGGTTTAGGTTTGGGGCCAGTAAGGTTTGTTTATTTATTTATTTGTTTGTTTGAACAAATTTACACTTTTACTGAGAAAAATACATTAAATTAATAAAAAATGCAGTAAATGCTTTTACATTGCTACAGATGAATTCTATAAAAAAAAAGAAACAAAGAAAAAAGTATCATGGTTTCCACAAAAATATATACATTTTCAATATGATTTCTGCAGGATCATGTGACCTTTAAGACTGCTGAAAAAGCTTCTGAAAATTCAGCTTTGCATTACAGGAATAAATTACATTTTAAAATATATAAAAATAAAAATGTTATTTTCAAACAGGCTAATCATAATATTTCACAATATTAGTTTTTTTTTCTGTATTTTTAATCAACTAAATGCAGTCCTGGTAAGCATAGGAGACTATGAAAAACACTGAAAAATCTTACCAACCCCAAACTTTTGAAACTCAAATTTCTAATAGACAACATGTAATGAATCATATAATATTGAAAAATATAGTGTGGTGTTTTTTGTTTGTTTGTTTGTTTGTTTTTTGAGTGGGGTGGGGAAAGAAAGTCAATTTTTGAAACTATGAGAATTATGACTTTTACTATTGATTACCCTTTCAAAAAAATCATAGTCTTGTTCCTTCACCGTGGCATTAGCAGAATAGCTTTGCAGTGTGAGTCTGTCTGTACAGCAGTAGTGATGGGAAACAGGTTGAAGTCTGCTTTGTTTTCGTCGTCTGTCATGGGGAACTCTCCCTCTGAGCAGGTTGATATTGTGTCTTAGTGTCTGAGTGACACTTAAACAAAGCCTGCCAGTTAAGAAGCACCCTTCCTGATTGGAGAGGTGATGGTTCTCCATTTATATCAGGATACACCACTGGGGCTCCAATCGCTCGGCTGCCTTTTGTGTGGAAGCCGAAGGCATCGATCCTGATAGAATCTATTATACAGTCTGTCTGTAGGAGATGTCAGCTAGCGGGTCGCCACCCAATACGCAGAGCGAAAAGTTTGAATGAACCAAAACTGAAAGAGTCAATTGGGCAAAAAAGCGAAAAAAGGACAGACAAAGACACTTTTTTTGAATACAAAAGCATCGTGGAGGGGAGCTGATCTCGTGCTTCTAAAGATCTGAAGCATTAAAATCTTGGCAGGTCTGCCTGCGGTGAGTGCATGGCACCACGCTCACAGTTTTTATAAATGGCTGCGGGGCTGGAATTGACTTGTAATTAGGGTGGCGTGGAGTTGGTGAGGAATTATTAAACACTCCAGGCTCTAATGAGTTGATGAAAGTAAAAACACGGAGCGCTGACCTTTTCCGTGGAATGTTTATGCATTCCCATTATGTTTTCTGCTGCGAATCAGAGGCTGTGGCAATGTCTGTTGACACCGGGCCCTCGCTGTGCAGTGGGGGGGGGG